AGAGAAACAGGTATCTTGGACCTGAAAGATGTATTCTTCAGCTTCTCATTGCCAGAAGTGCGGCAACCCATCTTTGTTTTTAAATGGATGAACCCACAGGAAGGTTACAGCGGGCAACTTACCTGAACCAGGTTGCCTCAAAGATTTAAAAGTTCTCCAACCCTGTTTGATGAGACAATAAATGATGACCTCCTGCCATTCCATGAGAGGTTTCCCAGGAAAATAGATTATAAAAGGGCCACCGAGGGGCTGCTTCAAGAGTTACAGACCTTGGGATACAGAACAACAGTTGAGAACGCCCACCTTTGTATATCAGAGGCTACCTATCTTGGTTACCAGCTGAGGGGAGGCAAAAGAAGCCTGGCTCAGAGTGGGATTGCTGCCGTTCCTCAGATTCCAACTGAAGACTAAGAGACAGGTTCAAGGGTTCCTAGGGGCAGCTAGGTATTGCTGCATATGGATTCCAGAATTTGTGGAAATAGCAAGGCCTCTATGTACCAGCATAAAGGTACACTGAGTCCCTAATCTGGACTGAGACGGAATAAAAGACATTTGAGGCTTTTCAAATAGTTCTAATCTGGCTCTAGCCCTAGAACCTTCAGATGCTTCAAAACCTTTTCATCTGTTTGTCCACAAAGGAAAAGACTTTACAAAGGGGATTTTGGCCCAAACTTTGGGGCTATAGAAACACCCTGTGTTATACCTTTCCAAATGATTGAACCCTACAGCCACAGGATGGCCCACCTACTTAAGAGCTGTGGTGACTATTGCCAGTTTAATGGAAAAACAAAACAAAACAAGTAGACTCTGGACCAGGATGAATGCAAAATGTAAAATTACACAGCTTGAATCCATAGGTTTGTGGAGTACACCAGAGGGAAAGATCATTCTCACAGAAACAGCGGGCAGGACTCTGGGAACTGACCTTCACCAGGATACTCATCTGGGGTCCACAGAACTTTCTGCGGACCAAAGTATATTATACTTAGCCTGGACAGTCTAGTGCTGGATGTCTTAGCCAGATGCCAAGTTTGTGTTCAAGTAAATCCAAAAGAGAGAGCCCATACCTACAAAGGAATCAACACCCAAGAGATGGGAAAACTAAGTTCACCAAGATCTGTCCTTCCGGGGAGGATACAAGTACTTCCTAGTCTTATATGTACTTTTTCCAAGTGGACAGAAGCATTCCCCACCTGGACCGAAACTGTTCAAATAGTAGCTTAAAAAGTTCTTCCCGGAACTGGCCCCCTGATATGCCCTACCCCTAGCCATGGGGTCTGACAGTAGTCTGAATTTTATAACCAAAACCTCAATTAATAGCTAAAGCTTTAGGCAGAGAATGAAAACATCTTGTGTATATTGACTACAGATTTATGGTCAGGTAAAAAGAATAAACAGGGCGTCAAAATAAACTCTAACAAATCTCTCATTAGAGTCCAACAAAGGATGGCTAGGCCTCCTTCCTTTGCTTTGATTTGGGCCACTGCAGCCCATCTAGAAGAGATTTGCCCCCATGAGATAATGTTAGGAAGACCTCCCACACTGCTTCCTAGGCTCAGAGACCAGCAGTTGGCAGAACTGTCTAACCACTCCTTCCTCAAGTCACTACAGGCCCTCCAGTCCTCCATAAAGGCTACTCATTGGATGACCGAGAGACCCAGGCAAACTCAGATCCATCACTTACCTGTTTCCCCTTGTTTCTGGTGAGACAGTTTGGGTCAAGCAGGTATCCAAAGAAGCACTGAAATCTATACATAGTGATTCTCTCCACTGCTATAGCTATGAAGGTAGCTGGTATTCCACCAAGGATCCACCACATCCAGGTCAAAATGTGGAAGCCACGGATGTCACTGTCAAATGAACTGCCTCCTGGACTATGGACCCATTAAAATTAAGGTTTCATCAGACCACAGGCCTTTCCACTCCCTGCCTCTCTATGAGTCTTATGTTTTGTCCTATGGGTATGAATATAGGGTCGTGATCCAAAGCCACCACCCACAGACGTGGTCCTGGGAACTGAGGAAGACAGATACAGGTAGGAGATAGCTAATGTGGCCACAGACCAGCAACCCATATTCCATTGCTCACTGATACCCACTTCAAGTGTCTAGTTGTATTGGGGAGATATATGGGAGTTTGTCTTTTGAGATAGGGATATAGAGTTATAATTCTCTTCATGCTGGGCAGCTGGACCCCTTAGTTGCTAGGAACAAGGGAGTTTCCATCGCAAAAATTGTCATTGTGAAACAGAGGACTCCTAAAACAATCCTTTCAAACAATTCTGGGTTTTGGGAAACATGGATAACCTGAAGGGACCCAACTTTATGTCGCAGGAAGGGACCTCTGAATACATTTAAACTACTCCTCGAGATCCCCAGGCCCTTGGGTCCTAACAAAGATCTCTCCATGCCAGGCCCAGGCCAACTTGCCCCTGCAAAGCAGTTAACACACCCAGAGCCACTGCCCAGGAAGACCACCCCCTCTGTCCTAGTAGCTGAGTGATCCCATTCCTCTTTTCTACTCTTGACAATGTCTGCCACTCAGTTACTCATTTCCAGCCAGAAAGAGGCCTTGATTGCTGGTTATGCTTAAACACCTGTTCGCTGTACTACAGACAGATAGGAACTAACCAGACTGTCAGCCATTGACTGACAAAACTCACTGTGACTGGGGCACCCCAAATTAATGTTAGAGGACTTAAACTGGGCACTTCCCCTTATTCTGATGCCTGCTCTTCTGCCTTTTGGGTTAATTCATCTGGATAACAGTGATATTACTGAGCCCCTGAGACTACTTGGTGGGCATGTACTAATGATTTGACTAAACATACCTCTTCTAATACTTTCCAAACGAAATAGACAGGTTGATTAGGACCTACAGATACTAAGTTTCCATTTCTGAATTAAAACAACAGTCATATTCCTTTACAGAAATGCTCCTGCAAAGGAGACTATGCATGACTTTGGGAGAAACTTGTTGTTTCTATGTTACTTGATCAGGAGTAATTAGAAAAGTTCTTGCCATGGCTGGAGAAAGCTTCAAAAAAAAGAGAACAAGATATAATTGGTATCAGTCTCTGCTCTCTTGGTCTGCCTGGCTAACTACTCTGCTATCAGCACCGGCTGGGCCTTTAATTCTCATTCTAATTGGATGAATTGTGGGCCCTGCATCTTAAACTAAATGGCCAGTTATGTATCAGTTCAGTAAAATTAATGGTCCTTGGGTCTAACTACCTCCTTACAGCAGGATGAGTCCACGGCTTGACTCATTCACTAAGTGGGTAATGTAACAGGGCCCCAGAACGTAGTATGCCCCCAGATTTTAGCACAACTGACTCCATGGTGGAAGTATAGTCAAGCTGTGAAACTCAACAGGTTACAGCACCGTCTGCCAACACTATAACAAAGACCTAATCCAGCAAGGTCCATAGTTCTGAGAACATCTCTAAATGTACTAACCTTGCCTTTGGCTTCTGTAATTCTGCTTCTAGCTTACTGTTCTCGTTAACTGAAGTATGCCAATTCAGGATACAGTTTTTGTGCTTAAAAGCTCACCCTGAGAAAGGCTTGGTGCTACACTGGGATCCTGGCCACCCAGTGTAGTTGTCGGGTGGCTAGCAAAGGCTTTCTATAGGCTCTTGTCTGAGTAGTTTCCTCGTGGATACTCCACAACAGTAACTATCAGATTTTCACTGTTCTCTCCCAGTAGATACTGGGGGAGGGTATTGTCCGAAAGTTGTGCTTTACCACTTATTAGTATAATTAATTACTGTTGTGGTCTTTTCTGTTGGTTGAGAGATTCATACTTGTGTATGATGCTTTGAACAAGGATGCCACCCCATTCTCTCCCTTCCAATTCATCTATCCCCAATTACAACTCCCTCCCTACTTTATATATTTTCCACTTTAAAAACAAATAAAAACCCCAAGGATTCCATTTAGTGCTGCCAGTATGTACATGGGAGTAGGACCATCTCCTGGAGCATAGGTAGCCCCTCAGGAGCCTCATCTTTGAAGAAAGCTGGTTCTCCCTTTCTCAACATCAGCTGTCAGGAGTTCTCAGACGGGGCAAGAATTCTTGACCTCCTTCCCTCTCCATGCTGGTATTTTGTCTGATTTAATTGTGTGCAGATCGTGTACACATAGTCACAGCTACTGTCAGTTCATGTGGTACAATCGCCCCGCTGTGTTCAGAAAACAGTTCCACTGTACGAATCCACTGACTCTGTATCTCCAAATCCTTCCGCCCCCTCCCGTGACAATTCCTGAGCCTTGGGAGGAGGTGACTTTAGTCTACATAGGTTTTCATCTTCTGCCTCTTACGGGACAAGCAAAGTGCTAGGTGAAAGGTTGTGTCAGATTCTCTTGTGATTATACCATATTAATTATTCTCATGTTCAGTGGCACAAAAAGTCTAAAATGTCACATACTTAAGTAGAAAATGTTCAGTGGTGAGTGGCCCTGACCCACTGGCCCTCCCACCTGCACTATTAGCAGGTCAGGCATCAGAAGAGAGGTCCCTGAGCATAGTTTCAAAACCACTCACTGGTCATCAAAGTATAGTCCCTACCAAAGGCTATAAAAAGCCAAGAATGCAGAATACAACTCATTCAGTTTGACCCTCGAAGTCCAGGTATTAAAATTTAACTGGGTAAGATGTAGCTGTTTAATGTCAGGCTCCTAAATTGACTGCAGAATGAATGTATTTGTGAAGAAGGAATCACGGACCTCAGGCTAAAGCTGCAGAAGAGGAAGGGAACTGAACTTTGCCCACAATTCGCCCCTCAGCCATCAGATTTCTTCCATCAAGCCTTGTAATGGCAGGTATGCTGAGGCACTAAATTGAACAGAGACTGACACCCAGAAAACTAGACCTGGGGAGTGGGCGTGGCAAGTCAGGACTTCCCATCTTGTGCACGGCTTATGTCAGAAATAGCTGTCCAATCGTAAAGGTGGGCGGGATGGAGGGGGGGGGGATCTATTACAGAGTTTATAAGCTCGGAGCTGCACTGAGGAGCACCAAACTGGTCTCCTTGCTGCAGACTTACCTGACAGGAGTTTTGAAGCCAACAGGTAAAAACCAGTGGCCCCGTGGGGCAACTGCTGGCGCGTGCGCTAGGGCTAGCGCTTTCGCGCTTTCAGGTGGACCGGGCTCTGTCTGCGCATCCGAGTTCGCGGAGGCTTTGTTTCTCGCGAATTCAGGGCGCAGTCCTCGGGGGTTCTCACTTTGGGAGATCCAGGGGTTCTGAGCTGCTCCGAGGAGGTACTGAAGGCTAGGAAGAGAGTTGGTGTGGGTGGGAAACGGCCTTCTAGATTTGGCTTTCGCCCCTCTGTCCCTTAAGCTGGGCACTGGGCAGTGACAAGTTATTTGTAGATGACACAATTCAGACAGATGCCTCTGCCCTGCCCTGCAGTTATAAATGTGTGAATCCCAATTTCCCCAGCTTTGAGATCAGCAATGTTCACCAGGTAAAGGAGGTTCTTAGGATACCCTTGACTGAAAATGTTTGAGAGGTGAAATCTTCAGAGCTGGGGGGTGGGGTGTGGTGGAGGGCTCTCTAGTCTATCCTGGTCACTAGATTGTGTTCTACCCCAAGCTAAGATAGAACCAGGCCCTGGTTGAAGAGCTCTGCCTTCTTATCTCTGGAAATAGGACTCGGCTGTATTTAGCGTTCCTCGTTCTACTAAAGCTTTTGATTCTTGATCATAAATAGTGACTTTTCTTTCTTTCTTTTTTTTTTTTTACATATTCTCTAAGGTTACAAGAAGGTTATTATGAGGCTTGTAGTTGGCAGTGACTAGGTTAAACCCTTCCCTGTCTTATTGCAATGTTCTAATATACTGACTTTGGACCTTCAGTAGAAATTAGTACAGTGTTGTGTGCCTCTCTTTTAGTGTGTGATGCTCACCACCATTCCCAAATCCCCTAAAAGTAGCTGATTGGAAGGTGAAGATGCTCATAGTCTCCTTTTACCTTTGCTGGGATTTTAAAAGTCAGGCTTTTCTTTTCCCCTGGGTTTCTAGAGTATCTTAGTTTCTGGAGCATCTTCTTCTGCTGTCATTTGCTGCCACCAGAAATGGACTAATGCTTTGTAATCAGAGCACTCTAAGAAAACATGACTTTCTAAGATCTGTTTTTCCTTGTTGAAAATTACCATGCAAAGTATTCATTGATATTTTTATGAATTTTAACTGTTATTCCTAATCTGATCATAATTCTAGTAGGTAACTTTTTTTGTTCTTTATTTCAGTAAACATGTGTGACAAACTGGACATGTCTGAAGTGGAACGATTTGACAGATCAAAACTGAAGAAAACCATTACTGAAGAAAAAAATACACTTCCATCGAAGGAAAGTAAGTCATGGAGGTTTCTAGTTGAGAGGAACAGTGGTGAAAGTTGGCAGAGTCAGTTAACAAACCTATGCTCTATTAAATTTTCCACAAAGTAAATGATGATAATTAGTATCCTATTATACTTAACAGTTTAAAATAACCAATAGCTGATTTCGTTATTGGGGCTACATAAGTGTTCTGCATTAATAGGAACCAGTAGCAATAATAGTAGTAATAGGCACCAGTAGTATAAATAAAAAAGTAATTTCTTGTTGAAAATTACAACATTCACATTAAAATCAATTTTGGAATCTTTGACTAATCACTAGGGAAAACCCTATGTGTTCTTTTAATCTTTCAATTTGAGCCTGAGATCCTGTCCCGCTAATGAATTCTGCAGACGCTGCTCTTCTGATCTGTTCTGCTTAATGACAAATAAAACGGAGTAAATTCAGATCTTGAATATACTTGATGCTCCCAGACTCAGGGGATCATTGTTACTCCTAGAGTTACATCTTACTGGAGAATTTCAAAAAAATTTTCACAAATGCTGTGCTATGCTTTTTGTTACACCAACAGTGTTTGAGAGTCCCAAAACTAGATGAAACTGTTTTAAAGTTTCTTTATTGTATTTTGATAGATGTATTGGAGGGAAATGCTTCCTTTACCTTTTCGTCTCAAATAATGGCAACTGTATAAATCAAATGGAATGTGAAACCCATAGTTTAAGTAGATATTAAATCTTAATATTAATTTAATATTAAACTTTAATAGGTATTAAAATGGTTCATGTGTACTCTCATATCGTACCTTGGTATTCTGAATTTAGGGCATTATGATAACTATTTAAAGAATTAGCACAGATTCTTTTTAATGGTGCTGGGTTTCAAACCCCAGGTCCTAGTTCATGCTAGGCAAGCACTGTACTACTGAGCTCCATCACACAGTCTGGCAACAAGGAACTCTAGGAAGAAACTAAACATATTAGAAAAAGTCTCTCCTAACAATATTTCGATGTTTCTTTTTTCCCTAGCTATCCAGCAGGAGAAAGATGATATTAAAAGATCATAAAATGAAGACATCCTTTCAAGACCTACTCCAACCTTGCCTGATAGTAATGGTTTTATGATTGTAGAGATTTTAGGTAGTGACTGATGTAGTCTCACTTCTACTGCCTTGGATGAAAGGTCACCATTTGTCAATGATCATTAAATTTGGTTGTAAACTGCCCACTGGTGTGTACATGTGGTTTTTCACTTGCTACAAGACAAGCTGATTTTAACCTAGAGTGGGGCCCTCAAATGCTTTATCATCTTTGTGAAGTCGTACTCACAACTATTTGCAGCTCCTCGAGTTTATCTGCATTTCCGATGTAACAAACACAACCACAAACTTCCTGTGGTACATTCTGGGTATCCTAAGACATGAAATTACATAAGGGTACGTTTTCAATTAAAGATAAATGAAGGAAAACCTCTTGAGCAGATTACATATATGTGAAGTTTAAGGTGGTAGTAAGAACTAATGCCCTTATTTGGGAATGAAGAAATGGAACCATAGAACCTAAAAGGATCTGTATAGGATGTGAAAAGATAGCCTTGCCTTCTTGAAAGTGTTTTTTTTTTCACCTTAATGGAAACACCCAAACCTGGAGTTGGATGGGGAGGTAGCAGGAAACACTTGCTAAAACACACCATATTAAATACAACAGGGTCTTCTACTGAGTGTACAATGAGATATTTAATATCTGCTGATGACTTGTATTACTTATTCTCTGTTCTGGTCCTTGCATTGAATAGGGTTTACTCTCTTGCAAACCGAGCATTTTGATCTTCAGTGACATAAGTGTTACTAACTTAAATGTGTTCTCCCAGTTCGTATGCATATAGTTTAGCTCCCAATATGCTTATGCATGGTGGTAGGATCTTTTAAGGGTAGTTAAAGTTAAATAAGGTTCTAAGAGTGAAGCCTTATAAAAAGAGGGAGTGGGGAAAGAAGGCAGGACACATACACACATATATACAGAGAGAAACAGAGACAGAGAGACAGAGAGAGACAGAGATCTTGGCAAGATGCTGAGTCTAAAGGTGCCTATACAACTGAAATGCACCTGTTCTGCATTCAATCCTGCTGGACCTTGGTCTGTCTGGACTTGCAACCTCTAGACCTGTGAGGTTACATTTGAGTTATCTAGACCACCTAGTCTGCAGTGATTTTGTTAGAGCAGCTTGAACTGACTACTATACCTAGGAAAACACATAAACAGCCATGCCTCAATCCTTACCTTTAATACCTTTACTGCTTTAAATGTATAAAGCTAACCACCTAAATATCACTGAGTAGAGATGTCCGCCACTCAGGATAACTAGCCAGGCTGTTATCCTAATTCACATATCTTCTTTTTAAAAGGTTACCTATTTGTAACCTAACATGTTAATATGCTTTATCCTTTTGAGGGGCTTACATCACTAAATAACAATTGTGGTCACAAGAACTAGAAGTGATTTTGTGTGTTATCATAAAATTCCCCAAGTGAAAGACTAAGAAGATCGACTAGGACCAAGTACAAATGTGGTAATACAATCACAGTAGGCACAGTGTACTGGGATTGGAGGATGTGGACCTTAGAAGTAACCATATTGGTCACCCATACTCCTAGCCTGCAACAGTGTTCCACAGAGTCACTTGGTCCTTTGCAGTGACAAGCTTGTACGGTACCCAAACCTGGCTCCCTATAGCATCTATATAATAGTTAGGGAGCTATTTACTGGAAACTCACATAGTATAATCAATTTGAAGTGAGATGTTAAGTTTGTACCCATATTCAAAGTCTTCTCAGATCCTTTGACCCAAGTTCCACAGTTGGGAAGCCATCCTGACTCCACATTTGTATATGCTTACTCTTTAAATTTCTAGATCCTGATTAAGTCACACAGCACATTTGAAAAAGTCTTTCAACAGGCTATTTGAAAATTGTATATGATGCTATGCACCCATGGTAGACTCAGCAGTTTCTGCACTTCACACTCAAGAAGGTCAAAGGAACCAGGAACGTTGTCAGTTGAGCTGGAGTTAGATGACAGTGTCTAGTGTTCCGTTGTATTTGATAACTATCCCTTTATTTCAGGTAGTAATTCTACCCTGGATAGAACACATGCCAAACCAAGTGGGAATAGATGAGAAAGGGGAAAAAGCAGCTGCTTAGTGAATACTAATGTAGTAATGAAATGGGGGAAGCCAACAGCTTATCCAGTATAGCTTTGCCATGAAGTTATTGAATACACAATGTTGGGCTACCTCCATCCCTCCTCTCTCTCTCTCTCTCTCTCTCTCTCTCTCTCTCTCTCTCTCTCGGTTTTTCAAGACAAGGTTTCTTCTTTGTAGCTTTGGAGCCTTTCCTGGAACTAGCTCTTGTAGACCAGGTTGGCCTCGAACTCACAAAAATCCGCCTGCCTCTGCCTCCGGAGTGCTTGGATTAAAGGCATGTGCCACCACCGCCTGGCCACAATGTTGGGCTATTCTTGTAATCATTTGCCCTACCAACAAAAGGGAGACCTGCCTGCTGCCTGTGTTAGGGCTGTATAGCTGTTATTTGCAAAACTGACAGCAATAAGACTTCTTGAAGCCTGAAGTCGTTAGGAACAAGGAATGTGTGAAATTCTCATCTCATATCATTTGAAAATTAGGGATCAGTGTTTCTTTTGTTTGTTTGTGTGTTGTTGCTGTTGGGTTTTTTGTTGTTTTTTGTTTTGTTTTGTTTTGTTTTTGAGACAGGGTTCCTCTGTTTAACAGCCCTAGCTGTCCTGGAACTAGCTCTTGTAGACCTGGCTGGCCTCGAACTCACAAAGATCCACCTGCCTCTGCTGGGATTAAAGGCATGAGCCACCATTACCTGGCTAGGGATCAGTGTTTTTATGCCTTTATTTTGTCTGTGTGCATGGGTGACTATTTAAAATATAAAAGAGTGAAAATTAAAAAATTAGATATTAATCAGAAGAACACCCCCCCCAAATACATCAAAACTATGTTATGCTCCCTGTACTTTTGGAAGTGTCAAAAATCTTATTTAAGAGCCTCAGGCATAATCTCAAATGTCTTTGCAAAAGGAATAGAGGAAACTCACGTAACACTCCAAAGTGCAAAACGATTTTTACTAACACCCTAGAATTAGAGGAATATATGACTTGGTGTCATAGTGTAGAAATATGTTTGAATTTAGCCTTGTAAAATTTCTGGCATAAACAACTTAAATGAGGGAAGATTTATTTTGGATCACAGTCTTGGGGGTTTCAGTCAGTCATGACCAGAAGAGTATGGCAGAGATGCTGGGCTTCTTTGGTTTTTTCCTTTATTCCTTTTATTCTGTTAGGAATTTTTCCTAATGCGAGCTCTCTGCCGACACAAAATCCCAATCAAGCCAAATAAAAATAAGCCAATTAAAAAATATCCAGGTTTGATGGGATTCCTGTGCTCTCAGGTGGCCCCGAGGGCCGCGAACAGGACCCCCAGGAGGAAGGAAAAGAGACCAAGTGATTCTCCTTCAGGAGCTATCTTAAATACCCCGTGGGAGTGTTCAGGACCTGGCTTGCTGGGCTTTGGAGTCCAGACCAATACAACTCTCAGGCCTGGGGGCTGGGGGCCTGGCTCTCGACTTACAATTCTGTCCCAGCTTTCAGCGCATGAGATGGTGCAACCGCATTCCTTTTCTTTCCCCTCATTTCACCATACCTTGAAACATTTTCACAGATCCATCCAAAGGATGCTTCTCTGTATCCTAGACGATTTAAATCTAGTCAAGCTGACAATTAATAGCAATATTATCCTTCATATGCAGTTTCTGCATTTATCTTCCATTAAACAAATATCTGAGAGCTACTCCTCGGTTTCCTACATGATTTGGCTAACAGTGGAAATACGGGGTGATAAGTTGGAATATGTTTCCTAGTTTTTTTTTTTTTAAAAGGATGCTATAAGAAATACTCAAAGGGGTAGTGAAATGGATATGATCAAAGTGCTTCATGTGTATATACATGAGTAGTATATAGATTAAAACTGTCACAATGAAAGCTACAATTTTGCCATTTGTGGTAGTTCATGACTATAGTCTCAGTACTTGGGAGGTAGACACAAGAGGAGCAGAAATTAACTCAAGACTAGCTACAGCTACATGAGATCCTCTCTCAATGAACAGCAGCACCATTCTGTACTATGTTGTATATTAATATGCAATATTTTAAAAATTATACTCAGTCACAACATATAATATTTAGACATGTCAAGTGAAAATATCCAAGAATATATACAATAATTTTAAAAGACTTTTTTATTCTTCTTTTTGAATTTTTAAATTCATTTTACACACCAACCACAGTTCCCCCTTCCTCCCCTCCTTCTCACTCCCCCCACACCTCTCCCCACCCCCTATTCACTCCTCCCAAAGGGTAAGGAAGGCCTCCATCGGCCAGTCAACAAAGCCTGGCACATCAAGATGAAGGAGGACCAGGCCTCTCCCCCCCTACATCAAGGCTAAGTAAGGTATCCCACCACAGGGAATGGGCTACAAAAGCCAGCTCATGCACCAGGGATAGATCCTGGTCCCACTGACAGGGGACCCACAAACAGACCAAGTTACACAATTGCTTGCTACCCTCATGCTGAGGGCCTAGTTCAGTCCCAAGCCAGCTCCTCAGCTGTTGATCCAGAGTCCATGAGTTCCCACAAGCTTGGGTCAGCTGTCTCTGTGGGTTTCCCTGTCATGATCTTGATTCCCCCCACCCCCTCCAGGTCATTAATCAAATTCACCCCTTTAACTCCTCCAAAATCTGCCCTACATCCTCTTCCCCCTAAATTTGTGCCACTTTAAAATTTATTTATTTGTTTGTTTGTTTGTTTTCACGGGACAGAGTTTCTCTGCGTAACAGCCCTAGCTCTCCTACGATTAGCTCTTGAAGACCAGGCCTTGAACTCACAGAGATCCGCCTGTCTCTGCCTCCCGAGTACTGGGATTAAAGGCGGTGCCACCACTACCCGGCACTTTTTTTTCATTAATAGTCTACTGAATCCAATTTGTGCTGCTCATAGTCTCCTGAGAGTAAATGTCATACCCTGGAGTGTGGTTGACCTGCCAGTACCCACACCCTTAAGGAAAACAGCCCCACCCACCTCAGAAAGCCATCAACTGTCCACAGCCCTTCAGTTAGGGGTAAGCCCGTGAACTTCTTACCCCTCAT